GTTGATTTCCTTTAGGATTGACTGGTTGGATTTCCCTAAAGTCCAAGGGACTCTCAAGAGTCTTCTCCAGCACCACAATTCGAAAGCATCAATTCTTTCACACTCAGCCTTCTTTATAGTCCAACTCTTACATCTGTACATGATTAATGGAAAAACCACAACTTTTGACTACTATATGGACCTTCATCAGCAAAGTAATGTCTCTGCTTTTTAAAACACCGCCTAGGTGTGTCGTAGCTTTTCTTCCAAGGAGCATCTTTGGATTTCATGGCTGCAGACACTGTCCTCAGTGATTTTGGAGCCCAAGAAAATAAAGCCTCTCACTGCTTCCACTGTTTCCCCATCTATTTGCCATGAAGTGATGGGACTGGATGTCATGATCTTAGTTTTCTGAATGCTGAGTTTTAAGTCAGCTTTTCCACTCTCGTCTTCCACCTTCATCCAGAGGCTCTATAGTTCCTCTTCGCTTTCTGCCATAGGGTGGTATCATCTGCATGTCTGAGGTTATTGATGATTCTCTCAGCAATCTTGATTCCAGCTTATGCTTCATCCAGCCTGGCATTTGGTGTGATGTACTCTGCATGTAAGTGGTTTTTCTATAATAATTCAAAAAAGATACATGCACCCCAATGTTCATGGCAGCACTATTTATAACAGACTGGACATGGGAGCTACCTGTCGTCTGTCAACAGGTGAATGGATGAAGAAGTTGTGGTGTCTATATATGGTGGAATATTACTCACCCATAAAAAGGGACAAATTTGAGTCAGTTGAATTGAGGTGGATGAACCTAGAGCCTATTAAGCACAGTGAAGCAAGTCAGAAGGAGAAAAGCAAACATAAAGGCACAGACACGTGGACTCGAGAAAACTGGCGCTGATGAACCTATCTGCAGGGCAGGGACAGAGATGCAAGCACAGAGAACGGACTTGGGGACATCGTGGGGGAAGGAGAAAGCGGGAAGAACTGAGAGAGCAGCACTGAAATATACAGACGCTTAGTGGGCAGGTGCTGTGTGACAAAGGAAGTTTAGGCTTGGTGCTCTGTGACCATCTAGAGGAGTGGGGTGGAGGTGGTGGGGAGGAGGTTCACGAGGGAGGAGACACATGTGTACTTACAGCTGACTCACATCTGCTGTACAGCAGAAACCAACACAACATTAAAAGCAATTATCCTCCAATTAAAAAAAACTGTATGTGGTTTCTAGACAAAATACTTTATGTACAAATGCTAGTTAGAAATAAGAAGTAAAATCAGCCAAAATCAACCTCTAGTCCCTAAATCTCACAAGGAATTGATCTGTCTGTCTTCTCTGATATTTATATCCAAAATTCAACTATATAGAAGCTTAGGGAAGAATGAAATTTTAGATAGTTTTCTTATCTGACCAGCTGTGGATCAAAAACACCTTTTGAATTTTATAGAAAATCCTCTGGAAGGAAATTATGTTACAAAGTATGGTGTTGGAGAAGACTCTTGAGAGAGTCCTTTGGACTGCAAGGAGATCCAACCAGTTCATCCTAAAGGAAATCAGTCCTGAATCAGTTTCAGTCCTGAAGCTCAAACTCCAGTACTTTGGCCACCTCATGCGAAGAGCTGACTCATTGGAAAAGACCCTGATGCTGGGAAAGATTGAGGGTGGGAGGAGAAGGGGACGACAGAGGATTTGGATGGCATCATAAACTCAATGGACATGAGTTTGAATAAACTCCAGGAGTTGGTGACGGACAGGGAGGCCTGGCATGCTGCAGTCCATGGGGTCACAAAGAGAAGGACACGACTGAGCGACTGAACTGATTATATAATTCCTGGCATTCTCAAAAATAGTATACTAAACATAATCTAAGCACTTTGGGGCTTTTTTACTAGTACTAACACTGAACTATGTTGTGATAAAATGATACAATAAAAGTTGTTCTAATCTATAAGTCTGCTTAATTTAGTAAATAAGACCCAAATAGTTAGGCTTTTTTTTTTTTTTTTTCCTTTTTTTGGCCTCATCACATGGCTTGTAGGAGCTTAGCTTCCTGACCAGGGATTAAACCCAGGCCCATGGCAGTTAAAGTGTGGAGTCGCAACCACTGGACTGCCAGGAAGTCCCTAGTTTTTCTTTTTGAATTATGTCTGCCTTTTACAACTTCTGGTCTTTCCCTTAATATCAAAATACTGTAATCTATGACTCCCTAGGCATGCCTGAGGAACAAAGTTATTTATCCCCAATTTATTCCCTCTAAACTATGAACTTGTAAATAAGATAAAAAGTTTTGCTAAAATATTAGAGTATGTGCTTACAGATCTTTGCTTTGGCTGTTCAGATATTTTACTTGTTGGGAGATAGTATGATCAGAAGAACTTTCTTCACAGCTTTCAACTAACACATAGGAGAGGAAAGGAGCTTCATTTAGCCTCACAGTAACTATCTGTATATTCTGTCTTTCTCATAAGGCTGGTGAAGATCAAGGCAACAGGGATCATTATTATTTGTATTTACAGAGTACCTGGAACAAAATGTGACCTTTAGGAGGATTTCAATAAATTCTTTTTAAATAAATCAAATCAAAATCAACTATAACTAATATTCCTTTCATTCTCCCAAAGTCATCAACAAGAAAAAGTTGTCCTGACATATTTACATTAGGTAAGGTAAGGTTTCTTACCTTTTAAGCAAGGGTTAAGGCCTAGGGACAGAAAAACTCTGAAAAAAAAAAAACTTAAGTGCTGTAAGAAGTGGTCAGGAGATGGCACATCTATTTTCAGAACAATTAGGCCCAAGGTTAAAATCTGCTGCCATAGCCCAAAGGCTCTTTTAAACTCAAGATCTTGTTCTCAAACAGTTAACATTCCCAGGGTATATTTCAAAAGAGCCGAGTATGAACCTCAGCTCTTTGGTCTAATTCCAAGTCTGGTAATTATATGCTGCCTATTAAAATTCCCCTTGCAGTTCTAATTTAATAAGGTGGTGTTCAGTTCCTGTCAAAAAGCTCAGAGTAACACCACCAGCTGCAATGCTCATCCCATAAAGTATAATGTTTCAGATGTGATTAAATGATCATTTAGAATTTTTCAGGGAAGCGAACATACATACTTTAAAATATTTTCCACTTACAAAGAATAAACTATATATTTTTAAGTGGCCAAAAAAATCCTATACCTTAAAATGTCACAGTAAATTTTAGTTTATTTTCTTGATAAAAGAGTTCTACTTGTAGCTATTATAATATTAATATGATGAGAAAACTCTTCAAGTATATCATCTTTAAGTTTTATAAAGCAGAGAAAATACAAAAACCTGAGACTCAAAGCTATCCTTTTTCTTGTGGTTGGCAAATAGTGTAAATATTTCAGCAACTTCATTAAATGACATTAGGCTTGACTACAAAATGCAAACTAAGGAGGTTTTTATTTTTGATTAATGTATCTATAGTGGAGAAAGCATAGCCAAGCTAAATGAATTCCTTCAAAAAAGCCAAAATGTGGTAAAAAAAAAAAGTACACCAACTTTATACTTTCAAACCATAAGATACCTAGATTGTGTTATTTTTAATAGTAATCTAAAGGTCTAACAGAGGTTCACAATCCAATCCAAAAACCTTAGGGCTGAGTATGTTTCAGAATTTAGAATTTCAACTGCCCCTCCTCAAGATTTAGAAATATTACTTAACATTACCAGTGGAATCTAAGTCAGCTCCCAGAAATCAAATGTTTGCATATTTCTTCAGTAAAATGTATGAATACTTGAAAAGGGTCTAATTTAGTTCAGATCTAGATCTTCAACCAAGTAAGTTAATACTAGTCAGGTTTTGTGATCAATTTCTGTTTTTAGAACTTTATGGATTTTGGATAAAAGACTGTGCACCTAAACTGAAACAGCAGAAGTCAGGAACAAGTTCTTAACTTCAAGATAACAGTAGAAATATTTCAATTGTTTCTACAAGTTACATATGCTTTATTATAAAAGCTTAATTCATACATCCAAAAAAAATCAAAACAGTTTATTAATCTTATGATGTGAAAGAAAATATATAAAATGCATTCATATTCGTAAGGATAAATTTCTTCCTTTGCAGAACTTTCTAGTTAAAAAAAAAAAAACAAACCACTATTTCTTTACATTGATAAAATCTTGCAATTGCACTGCAATTGAGCATTGCAAGGGTTACCACAAGCTTAAAAGAATAGATAGAAGTCTAGACTCTGGGGTACTGAAAAGTAAGCAGCTGGACAAAGAAATTCTCCACTTCTCCATTCTTTCTGTTGTCTTACAGTATGGGAAAAAAGGAATCTATGTAAGAGGAATCAGAATGCTTTTTATAAGAGAAATTATATGTTCTCTTCAAAACAGTAAACTACAGTGGTGAAGAACAGAGAGACTATAGTTAGTAAGGAGACAATCAAATTCCAGGTCCACCTTTTACTAGCTTTGTGACCTTAGAAGTTAGTAAATACTCTTATGCCTCAGTTTCAGCTACAAATGTGGAAAATAACAAATGTACCACATAAAGTTACTAATGAAAATTAAATGCTAAATAAATAAAAATAAACTGATAGGAACAACAGGAAGAATAAACAGGTGATATTAATAAATACTGGCAAAGTTAATGCAATATTATCAACCAAAATTTCCTCGATCTTAACCACATTTTAAACCCAGACTGGCTTAACATAAGAAATTTTTTAAAATACAACAAATGTTTACCTTGCATTTTATCCGTATTAACTGAAATACCATGAATTGAAATAATTAGTATCGCTATCCTTTTTTTAATAAAGAATAGTTATTACCTGAACTTATAAGTTCCACAAACTACTGAAACACCTCAGTTTCTATGAAAAACTAACCAGTATGCATGGTTAGCAATTGGTAAATAAAAATATCTGATAAGTCAAAATAGCTAATTCCATGACCATGCCAGAGAGCCCATCCACCAAACATAAATGGTACTAGAAAATAAACCACTTTGCTCACTACACAATCTCACAAAGCAATGCACAAAACTTACCTATCTTCATCTTTATCATACAGTTGGTAATAGTCTCCACAGCCATTCCAAAATGTGTTATCCACAACCTCTGGCCTTACTGTGGCTCCACTTTCTGTTGTTAGTTGGTTATCTTCTGTTTCCCTCTGTGTAACTCTTGCAAAAGGCAGATCCAAGAACATACAATCATGTTCTCCATCATACTCATCACATTTTATTAAGAGGTCATCTGAGCCATTTTCTTCAACTTCCAAAGCCTCTCTCCACCTCTGAACACTTCTTTGTTTGGCCTCATGCCTATTAAAACCTGTTTCTTGGTCCACCTGGCTTGAACTTATCACTTTCCTAACTTTGGGCCTCACCACCTGCTCAAGAGAACTTCCCTGGTTTTTGCCCCTATCATTGGTGTTTTGTTCACTGCAAATATGCCTGGGAGCACAGGCTGAATCTTCAGTTGAATTTTCTCTTTGTCTCTCCTGGCTAGTATTATTTTGTTGTTTCTTTCTAACTACTTCATCTTCAGAAGAGGACCTCTGAAATTTCTGATTGTTCTCATTGACAAACTCAGTATTATCAGTAGAACTTTTCACTAAAGGTGCTGAATCTACCTCTTCAAACTCATCTCTTAATTCACAGTTGAAAGAGGGAACTGTTGGTGAAAGACCAGTGTATGCCTCTACCTCTCCATTTTCCAACTCAAATACTGTATTGCCCAGTGCTTCCTGATAGCTACCACCTTCCAAAACGTTTGCAGAGAGCTGAAGATGGTCATTATCCTCTCCATGTCTGCTGTCTGGATCATAAGAGTCAGTATGAACCAATGTAACTCCATTTTGGACACTTGAAGCATTACAAACTCCTGGAGTATATTCTCCCTCAGAGTGATGGTGAAGATCTGTACTGCTTCCTAAGGGCTCCCTGCCTTCCTCGCTATGATGTACTGCAGCAAAGGATGGAGTGCTCTCAATGGTTTGACTCAATGCTGTATCACAAATGGGAATTTCTGCTTCACTTTTTTCAAATGAAGGGTCACTGGGTAAAGAAGAATGAACTTGATCCAGTGGACTGGAACCTTCACAGAGAACAAAAGAAAACATTTAGAGGGGCTAATTTAGATAACATTTAATAATGACTCTCTAACTAGAAACCATACCAATTATTACCTATTTGAGAATATGAGTTTATTTCTCTGACTGGTGCTTCCACACTCCCAAATTTAACCGAGAGGGCAGACTGGTTACCCTATGAGTTCATTTACACCACTGTATAGCCTCTCAATATCCTCTCTCTCTGGACATCTTCTGTAGGTTTTTCACCTAAATCCTAATACTTAAAATGTTCTATACAAGATATTTAAAAGAGAGACTAATGAGAGACTTGAGAGAAGTCATAGGATAATCAATCTACTCTTCCAGTTGTTGGAATGGGCAATTCAAACTTAAAATTATTTTATTACATGTAGATTTCTTTAAAGTGTTTATAATAGCTATAAACAGACAACAGATCTAACAGAAATGAGACTCTATTGTGTTCTATGTCAATTCAGTAGATTATCTCAGTCACTAGATACATAGTATTAAATTTCTATCCCCAAAATGAACTGTTATAATATATCTACAATGAATTAACCTCAGTTATGTTACAGCTATGACTGAAAAACAACAAAGAGTCAATATATTGATTCTCTTTGTCACAGTTTCTAAGAACTATGAGACAAGAGTAAAATGCTATACACCCTACAAATTACTTTCAGTACAACTATCTTTTACACTAATGTATAACTAAAAAAAATAAAGACACCAAGACCTGTTGAAACAAAATTTTATAAATTATAAATAAGTAAATGTAAGTCTTGTCATATCACAAAAAGGCTTCTTTAGCAAAATGACCTTAGCTAATAATTCATATTCTTGTATACAAATGACAGAAAAAAAAACAACCCACCCTAGAATTATCAAGTCTGCTCAGAGTAAGAGGAAACTGACATTCCAGTCCAAAAATGTATAGTTATAGTACACGGATTGTTGTTATTGTTTAGTTGCTAAGTGTGACCAACTCTTTTGCAACCCCATGGATTGCAGCCTACCAGGCTCCTCTGTCCATGGGATTTTACAGGCAAGACTACTGGAGTGGGTTGCCATTTCCTACTCCAGATCTTCCCAACCCAGGGATCGAACCTGCCTCTCCACACTGGCAGGTGGATTCTTTACCACTGAGCCACGTGGGAAGCCATAGTACATGGATACCTGCCAAATACTTTTTGAGTAATGAATAATTAAGGAATTTTAATTAAATAACTATTACTTGACCTTTGTATTTTTTATAATGATTCTAAAAATATCAAATTAACCAAGTTAAATTATTTAGAGATACAAATAAAACCAAACAACAAAAAAAGCTATTTAAATTTAATATGCAGGGGAGAATATACTCAGTGCACATTAAAAAAATAATTTTTTTTCTTGAACATTTTCTCTGGCAAAGTGATGTGACAATGTAATCACTGCAATGACAATGCAGTTATAGATTAACAACTGACCATCTTCTATGTATACACTATGAAGTTCAATAGAAAATTTTAAAATAGAAATTCTTGATAGGAAATGTACAGCACTTATACTCAAGACACACATAAAACCCACTCACTATTTCAAGCATCACAAGATCAATTCTTACATTGCTATTAGCAACTTTTAAATAATTCCAGGCTGCATACCTGAGGAATTTTCTTTTGGAACATCATCCAGTTCCAACACTTCATAGTCATCACCAGCCCGACCTAAGCTTCTTTCATGCCTGGTCATACACGGTTTGAAACTGACATATGCATGTCTTCTGCCATATCTCCTGCCTGTAATTGTCTGATATCCTCCTGCTGGTTTGGGCCAGGCAGCCTTGGTAGAGTCTTGATCCATTGCTAAAAAAAACAGTTAAAAATAAGAGGCGCAGCAATGGCTTTCGTTGTGATATTTGGGGTAGTGTTTCAACATATATTGCTATTATCTGTCAAATCATATGCTACTGAACACCAAGTGTCCCTTACTAGTAATACAAAACGTACTTGAAAAGTAAGCATATTACTTTATGAGATTTATGTGACCCCCTTCATCCCTCCCCCAAATATCTTTTTTTGGTTCCTTTAAGATACTGCAGATTTTTATAACATAACCTACCCCCGATTTTTTCCACATGCCAAATTACTATACTGTAAAAGCTCCTAAAGGATTGGAGAATGATCCTTCAAATTATCTAAGTACCTTATGTACAACTGCTCAATACAGATTTGTTGAGTGAAATACTCACATATGATATGATGGTTTCAATTACAATAAAAGTGAATAAATTCCAGTCAAATTGCTGTTCAGTTGTTCAGTCGTGTCCGACTCTTTGTGACCCCATGGACTACAGCATGCCAGGCTTCCCTGTCCTTTACTATTTCCCAGAGTTTGCTCAGACTCATGTCCATTGAGTAGGTGATGTCATCCAACCATCTTGTCCTCTATCATCCCCTTCTCCTCCCACCTTCAATCTTTCCCAGCATCAGGGTCTTTTCTAATGAGTTGGCTCTTCACATCAACTGGCCAAAGTATTGGAGATTCAGTTTGAGGGTCAGTGCCTCCAATGAATATTCAGGACTGATTTCCTTTAGGATGGACTGGTTGGATCCCCTTGCAGTCCAAGGGACTCTCAAGAGTATTCTCCAACACCACAGTTTAAAAGCACCAATTCTTCGGCGCTCAGTCTTCTTTATAGTCCAACCCTCACATCCACACATAATTACTGGAAAAACCAGAGCTTTGACTATATGGACCTTTGTCAGCAAAGTAATGTCTCTGCTTTTTAATATGCTGTCTAGGTTTCTCACAAGTAATTTCTTTAATGGTATCTGTACTATCACAAAGAATCAACTGGGCCACAATAAAATATATCCCAAAGATTAGGGTCAAGTAAAACTCTCCAAAAGAAAACAGTGGTGAGCCAAGTCAAACTTTTCAAAACTACCAATGTTATACGCATGGTAAGAAAAGTCAAACACATACAAACAACCTAAGTACCTACTTCTGATGCCTAAGGGATATATAACAGCAAAGATTAGCATCTTTAACTAAGTAGGACATTATCTCACATCTACATATAGAATAAGTTTGCTTAGTCAACTGGATTTGACATATTACGCAGGAACGAATAAAATATTTCCTCACAGTATATGGAATAGTCAGTAAATGAAAGTTACATATTTCCATTTTAGGGCATTAAAATAAAAAACATAATTGCTTCTAAGCACAAATTCCAATCCCAAAGAAAGGCAATGCCAAAGAACACTCAAACTACCACACAATTGCACTCATCTCACATGCTAGTAAAGTAATGCTCAAAATTCTCCAAGCCAGGTTTTAGCAATACGTGAACCGTGAACTTCGAGATGTTCAAGCTAGATTTAGAAAAGGCAGAGGAACCAGAGATCAAATAGCCAACATCCGCTGGATCATCGAAAAAGCAAGAGAGTTCCAGAAAAACATCTACCACTACTTAACTGACTATGCCAAAGCCTTTGACTGTGTGGATCATCACAAACCATTGAAAATTCTGAAGGAGATGGGAATACCAGACCACCTAACCTGCCTCCTGAGAAATCTGTATGCAGGTCAGAAAGCAACAGTTAGAACTGGACATGGAACAATAGACTGGTTCCAAATCGGGAAAGTACCTCAAGGCTAAATATTGTCACCCTGCTTATTTAACTTATTTGCAGAGTACATCATGAGAAATGTTGGGCTGGATGAAGCACAAGCTGGAATCAAGATTGCTGGGAGAAATATCAATAACCTAAGATATCCAGATGACACCACCCTTATGGCAGAAAGTGAGGAAGAACTAAAGAGCTTCTTGATGAAAGTTAAAGAGGAGAGTGAAAACGTTGGCTTAAAGCTCAACATTCAGAAAACTAACATCATGGCATCTGGTCCCATCACTTCATGGCAAATACATGGGGAAACAGGGGAAACAGTGACAGACTTTTATTTTGGGGGGACTCCAAAATCACTGCTCATGATGACTGCAGCCATGAAATTAAAAGACGCTCTCCTCAGAAGAAAAGCCATGACCAACCTAGACAGCGTATTAAAAAGCAGAGACATTATCTGCCAACAAAGGTCCGTCTAGTCAAAGTTATGGTTTTACCAGTAGTCACGTATGGATGTGAGAATTGGACTATAAAGAGAGCTGAGCGCTGAAGAACTGATGCTTTTCAACTGTGATGTTGGAGAAGACTCTTGAGAGTCCCCTGGACTGCAAGGAGATCCAACTAGTCCATCCTAAAGGAGATCAGTCCTGTGTGTTCACTGGAAGGTCTGATGTTGAAGCTGAAACTCCAATACTTTGGCCACCTGATGTGAAGAGCTGACTTATTTAAAAAGACCCTGATGCAGGGAAAGATGGAGGTAGGAGGAGAAGGGGAAGACAGAGGATGAGATGGTTGAATGGCATCACTGACTCGATGGACATGAGTCTGGGTAAACTCCGGGAGTTGGTGATGGACAGGGAAGCCTGGCATGCTGTGGTTCTTGGGGTCACAAAGAGTTGGATACGACTGAGCAACTGAACTGAACTGTAGCACAAAGAAAAACGCACATGTATTTACAACATATAATACCAAGTGTTGCATTATTACTTCATCTCTTCACAAACCTGATGAGGTGGATACTGTATTTTAAAATTAAAAAATTAGGGTTAAATGGATTATTTAAGTACCCTGTCCAATGACCCAGTATGACTCCAGAATATTCACTGGAAAGACTGATGCAGAAGCTGAAGGTCCAATATTTTGGCCACCTGATGTGAAGAGCTGACTCATTTGAAAAGACCCTGATGCTGGGAAAGATTGAGGGCAGGAGAAGGGAACGACAGAGGATGAGATGGTTGGATGGCATCACTAACTTGATGGACATGAGTTTGAGTGAACTCTGGGAGTTGGTGATGGACAGGGAGGCCTAGTGTGCTGCAGTCCATGGGGTCACAAAGAGTTGGACACAACTGAGCAACTGAACTGAACTGATGACTCCAGAACCAGTACCTTTAACACCTCCAAAAAAATAGTCTCCAAAGTATAAACCACAATAGATGCTAAGGGGGTAGGAAAAGAAAATATAATAATTTCTAGCTATACTCATTTTTGTATCAAAAATTATAAATTAAGCTTTATAAATATTCAATACAATGGAGTGAAACTGGCCGTAAATAAGACCAAGATTAAACATCATATACAGTACTCAAGGAATCCAGAGGGGAAAATATGAAGTCCTCAATCTAGAGTAAGTAACGCAGACTTTGCTTACCTGCTGGCTCTTTTTCAGTATACTGTGACATATATGGCAGTTTCCTTGTGCCCAGTTCAGTGGAATTATGGATGTGACTTAGTTTTTACTCACACAATGGATAAGCTGCAGAAGATTCCTACAAAGAAACCACAGATTAAACACAACATTAATAAAACAGAAGGACAAAACAAAATGGCAAAACTAATAGTTCTAGTGAAGTTCTTAGCTTGCCCATAGCAACACAGAAATATGCATTGGATTTGATAACGCAATCAAAAAAATCTGAAAAGTATGAAGATGGCTATTTGAAAACATTTAGATATCCTCTTGGAAAACCTTGCCTTAAGTATGTATCATCCTTAAGAAAGACAATGATGATAACACAAGAATAATTTATAAGTACATAAGCAAATATATTAGGAGAAGTACATATTAGCAAATATATTAGGTCACATTGGGGTATGTGACCAAACTTACATTACATAGTACTTTGGGCATCTACTACAAACTACGCTACCTTTGCTTCTCCATCAGACACTAAAGTTCCCTTAGCCCTGCCACTGCTAAAAGAAGTTAACTCTAAGAACACAAACTTCATTTAAAGAATGTATAATGGCTTATGACACTAAGTGTAAAAAATGATATATTGACTATTTTTTAGAATAGTCAATTGACCAGATATTTTAATCCCAAAGAAGAACCTATTCTAAATCAGGAAAACTAAAATTTACCATTTAACATATGAAAACTTCATGTTTTGAAATTAATCCATTTATTTAGTATTTTAAAAGTTACAACCTGTGCCTTTTTTGAAAGTCTGGCAAGAGCTAAGCTTTTTATTTAAACGCCTTAACACTAGAGCTACTGCTAACTGCCCACCATCAACTTAAAGTTATTAGAAGATGACAGCTCTGAAAATTAATTTAAATCTATATGCTATCTGTCTAGCCATACAGCTAGCTATAAATTAACACATATAAAAGTATACATACACATCCTCCCATATAAATTATAAACCCAGCAACAGGCTGTTTACTGCTCTAATATTGCTGAATCAAGTCAGACTGTTAACAATAGTTAAAAGGTAAAGGAATATAAAAAAAATAATCCTGCCATACTGGCAAAAATACAAGCTCTGATTAATATTGTTTTAATAATAAGAAAAATAATCTTCAATAACTTGAATCTTCGCAGAATCACAGTACAATACGTGCAGATTTAAAGGATGGCCATGGATTTAAGTTCATGGATATTTTATCCAAAGCCTTTTCTCTGAAACAAGGCAATATTCCAGGCACTATTTTCAGTGCTGAGGATATAAAAATGAACAAAATAGACAAATACTCCTGCCATCTTAAACCCTCCTAAAATTGTAGTACGGGGTACAGACACTGAACAAAACACACAAGGAATAAATGTTAGACAATTCACGTGTGTGCGCGCGCTCAGTCACTCAGTGGTGCCAGTCTTCTTGCAACCCCACAAACTGCAGCCCACAAGGCTCCTCTGTCCATGGGACTTTTCCAGGCAAGAATACTGGAGAAGGCTGCCATTTCCTCCTCCAGGGAGATCTTTCCCATTCAGGGACTGAACCTGTGTCTCCTACATCTACATCCTACATCTCCTGCATTGGCAGGCGGATTCTTTACCACTGAGCCACTTGGGAAGCCCACAGCCAACATCTGGACCAAAAGAGAGCAGGGACTCCAGAGCTGCGAGGAGTGTGCCATTTAAAACAGCACAGTTAGGGAAGGCCTCACCGAGGAGGGGTCACTGGGCAAACACCTGTGAGAGAAGGAGCCACACATGCGGGAAAGAGCATCCTCAGCAGTCTAACAGGAAGACTCTGAAGTCAGGACTCCCAGAAGTGACCATGGCAAGAAGTCTGGGATGGAATGAGCAAGAAAGTAACAGATGAGGTCAGAAAGTAAATTAGAGATGAGGGAGTAAAATGGAACTGATCATATAAGTCTTTACAGGGTAAGACAACACAAATGAAAGTTGCTCAGCCGGGTCTGACTCTTCATGACCCCATGGACTGTCCATGGGATTCTCCAGGCCAGAATACTGCAGTGGGTAGCCTTTTCCTTCTCCAGGGTATCTTCCCAACCCAGGAATTGAACCGGGGTCTCCTGCATTGCAGGCGGATTCTTTACCAGCTGAGCTATCAGGGAAGCCCAATACAAGAAATGTAGGTGTTACTCTGAGTGAGACAGAAAACCACCAAATAGTTCTCAGAAGAGACATTACCTAACTTGTTTTAAAAGGAACACTCTGGCTACTGTGTTTAGACTGAAGGGGAACATGGTCAAGGGCAGGGAGACTGGTGAGAAAGCTATGAAAATACTGCTAAGAGATCACAGTGATTTGGACCAGGGTAAAAATAGAGGCAGTGAGAACTTACCAGATTGTGGATATATTCTGAAAGAAGAGGCAACAAAATTTTCTGATATAGATTATGAAGGAAAGTAAGAATCTAAGGTTGATTCTTAAGTTTTACAGCCTAGGCAACTAGAAAAACAGACGTGCCACTACCTGATGTAGGAAATTTGTGGAAGCAGCAGGTTTGGAGAAAGTATACTGAGTTTACTTCTGGATGTGTTAAATCTGAGGTATCTATTAGATATCCAAGTAGAAACGTTAAATAAGAGGCTGGAGTTGACTGGAGAATTCTGAACTGCTAGTATAACCTGGGAGTTATTAGGATATAGATTAATACTCAAAAAAGGTTTGCTAGAGATGGCTTCTAAAATTAAGAGGTCAGGGAAAAAGAAGTATCTGGAAAACTAAGCAGTGAGAGAGGCAGGTGAGAGAAAGGAAAATCTCTTGTTGGAGTATGGATGCCAATGAAGCAAGCACTTCAGACCAGAGAACTGATCCACTGGGCCAAACTGCTGCTAAAAGAAAAGTGTGGCAAGGATCTGTAACTGACCCTAGACCTAGCAACAGGGAAGGTTACTGGAGCTCTTGGCAGTGGCGTCTTTGGTAAAATGGCAAACACAGAAGCCTCATCAGAGCATGCCGCTGAGAGAGAGAGGTGGTAAGAGTACAGAAATCATGAAAATCTCCCTGTTTCTTAATCATACTTTTCTTCAACATAAATCCATTTCTTTCTAAAAGATTCTTTTTGGAGCCCTCCAACATCCTGATAAAAACTGAGTCTACTTGCTCTCAAGATCCGACTACTTCTGGGCTATCTTGTGGTTGTGTTTTGAATTAGGTCCCCTGATTTGAAACCCATGTTCTCCCCTCTTTTGTTTCAGGAACAGGAGTGTGTTCATTTTGTCTTTATTAGAAGATTCTCAAGCAATTGTTTTAGGAATTTTACATAAGTAGGTAAAAGTTGAGCCTTTCCATATCAAAGTATTTCCTCTATCACACTCTTGACTTATGTTCAAAACAAGATCATTTTTCCAACCTCTGCTTGATTGAAGGCACTGCTTTCTAAGCATCCCATGTTGCTGTTAAGAAACTGTACTGTCAGTTTATTTCTCATGCTTTTGTAAGTAAAGCAATTTTTCTCTCTGAATAACTAGGATTTTCTCTCAAGAAATGGCATTCCATATTTCACAAGGACTTTCTTTGGCCATTTAAAAAATTTCTATCCCATAGCACTTTAAAGACTCACATAAAATTTTCTCAAAGTTAATCTTTTTTCTTTCCTTATTTTCTGTGTATTTGGCCCACAGAGTTTAATTCTTTGTCTCTAAACTTTTATTTCTCATTTTCAATGTACAGAATGATAGATTTCATGTACTGTTTTACTTCTGGCTTTCTAATATTCTCTATAATATTTCAGATTTCTTGCGTTTCTTGTTCCCTGCTTCTTCTATCATTGTCATTTTCAATAGTGGTTCTTGTCTTATGAATAAAATGCAAACTAGAATCTCTCTGTAGATACCAATTCTCTCTATTTCATCTAGGCCAGCTATATAGATAAGTTCTACAACAGTACTACTTATTCCTATCTCTGAAGTATAAAAGAGAAGAGAAAGTAGAACAGGGAGGAGAGAGGATGAACAATAAAAACCAAAGTCACAAGTCAAGATTAAAATGATTAATTAATCAGAGGCAGATTTGTATGTAAAGTTTATTGGGAACATTTGGTCTCTTGAGTTTTCTCTAAAGAAATGTTTCCTTTGCTAGTACTATTCATCTAATAACAACATATGATTCCTCTCTACTTGTGACAATTATTCATTTCAAATTCTTTAGTTTTCACATACTTCTTCCTAATTGCAAAAACAAAACAAAAAAATTATACAAATGTGCTGTTGTCTAAGAATTAAAGGAATTAATCAGGTAAGTATTAATTCTAGATCTTCCAAGTATTAACTTAGGTGTCATCATTTTACCCCTTAACGAGGATAATATGCCAGCAGCTCTAGATAGGTAATGGGAACAATCTTCAAAAGAATACAAGGAAAAGCCTGAGTATGGGCTCTACCCTCCCAAGGCAGAGCTGAAAGAGTGAATTTAAAGACAAAGACCTTGCTTTAAGTGTGTGATGTCTATTAAATGAACTGTTTCGGTATACTGTCTAACATAATGATACATATTTAAACAGCTGTCAATGAAGGGATGAATGAATGCATTACAATTCTGTGCCCCTTTCTGATGAAAATACGGAAATATAGTGCAAAGAGACTAAGAGTTGGGAATACTTAGATTCAAGTCCCAACTCACACACATTAAGTGAAAGCTAGCAGTAGAAGTTATTCAGAAAACTAAAAATCTAAAATAGTAATAAAGCAAAAGACTTAAGCAAACAGAATAACGAGTGCTCATATACCTAAATGAACACAATACACACTGAAGTTGATACATACCAAGCTACACCTTTAATTGCCTTCAAAATCAGTTCTCCTATACATGGCAACTCTGTGCAGAATCCCATGGACAGAGAAGCCTGAAAGGCTACAGTCCATAGGGTCAGAAAAAGCCGGACACAAGTGAAATGACTTAGCATGTATGTATGCATGCCATGCACACACATACCACTGAGTAGTCAATTAATACTCCAGCCTGTATAATATTCAAAGTTCACAT